ATAAATGTAAGTATTTTTTCTGTTGCAAAAATGTCATTCTACAATATACACTGTTCTCAATAGGCTTTTACGCTTAATGTAGTAGGTGTTCAATAAATACTTATTGCATGCATGAGCCATAATTTGTTATTCACTTCCCTATTAGAGGACTTTTGGGTTGTTCCCCAACAGCTGTCCAATAAACACGATTTTATATAGGAAAAATGTAATTGAAATGCATGCATATTATACATAGAAACATAACATATAACTACGTGTAATAAATATATCCTTAAATATACTAATAAAAAACATATTCAGTGGGAGGGACATTTTGGGTGCCCTCTGGGTGTATTTCATGGATGCCCCTGGGATATGTGTTGATCAATTAGCCTCAAAAAGAAAACTTTCAGATAAAGGGTGGCTACCCTGTGTTTATTATGTTGTGATAACATAACATTTGTTATATTGTTATGTTGTTATATTGGCTTTAAATCCTCAGCCAAGCAGCTTGGCTAAGATAAGATTCAGAATCCAATCATGGTAACAGAGCAACAATTAATTTTAGATAGAACAGAAAAAGAATCTGCTTCAAATTCTTTTTAGAACAGGAAGGAAAGAATGGTTGTGGGTTGGTGGGAGGGAGGGAAGAAAGGAAAGTGAAAAAAGAATAAAAATGCTTTCTCCTGCTGGTGATTTGAACTATTCCTTGTCTGATTCTACAGCATAATTCTTCTTGATCTTTTAAAGGATGTTGTATGGCAGATTTCCCTTTCTTACTTGTTCCTGGGGCTGAAGGCATAACGGTTCACTCCCCAAGCTGGAGGCTGACCACTCCTGGCTTAGTCCCAGGAAGCCTGAAAAACCCCACACCCGTGAAAGCGAGCATGTCCTCCTGTCCCTCAGTGTTGTTGTGTTTGCTGACGTCCTCCAAACAGTGCCATAGCATGGAAGGGATGGGGGGTGGGGGGGGTGGATGCCACTGCTGAACAAGCACAGTGGTCCAGGACTGCCAGGTGCAGCCATTCGGCCCTTGCCTGGGCCTGACAGAGGTCACACCAGTCCCAGAGGAGATGACTGTCCTGGGGACTGAACCAGGGACAAGAAACTCAGTTTTGTGGTCCCCATAGAGCTAGGGAAAAAAGGAAAGGAGCTTGTGTGACTTTTCCTTCTTTGCAAACAAAACTGCTTAAATGTGATCCTTTAGCTCTGTGAATACAAACCAGGGCCTGGTGCTCTGGGGAGAACAATCAGGCCGGAGACTGAGCCCACGAAGCCCAAAGGGGACAGAAACCCAGACAATGGTGCTGGAGCCAAGGGTGAGTGGGGTGGGGGGGGAAGCGGATATGATAGCAAGGAAGGAGTTTCAATGTGAATGAATACTAATTAGTGACGTGGATATTAATGATGACAGTAATTAACAGGGGAAAGGAAGGGCTGTCATTGTCCCAGGGTGAGTAATCAATCTTGGCAGGTGATAAATAATGGCTCAGCAAGCTCAGCAGAAAGATAATCCGCCTGCCTGGGGGAGAGCTCGAGCTGATGCTGGAAACCTCGCAGTTTCTAGGCAACCCACAAAAAAGAACTATTTTTCTTAAAAAAAAAAAAAAAACAGGTTAGAGTCTCTCTCCCACCCCCAACTTGGGATTATGGTTCTTATTTGATTTCCACTTTGTTCTTCATTTCCTAGGACAAATGTTGAACTTGTATAATTTGGAGGAAATGGACACACATTCACACACCCTGACACACACGCTCACACACACAGACACGCTCTGTCTTTCTCCCAAAGAATGTGAATGAATAGGACTGTTTTTGATGCAAAGTTTAGCTCATAGGTGACAGCCGGGAGCAAGAGTGTGGAGAAGCTGAGACCTCCTGCTTTTAAGGTTGAAATGTGGGGAAATGGGAAATTGCAAGGCTGTGTTGGTGGCCCTGGGGGAGCACAGGAAGAGGATGGGGCTGTGGCAGTCCCACTGTGCAGGGTTACTTCACCCTCCACAGAGCTAGAGAGCAACTGAATGTCCAGGCTCTTGGTCTGTGTCTTTCCCACTTCTGGCCACCAGTCAAATTTCTGAGAAATTAGATTTCTGGGGAAAGGGTCATCTCCATTAAACTCCTCTGCTGGACCTCCAGATCTTCAGGTGGGAATCCAGCCCAGGACAGTTCTTGGAAACCCTCTCCCTCACACCCAAGCCTCAGGCCACAGCAGGACTTGGATATCTAGAAATGTCTCCTCTTGCAGGCTGTTTTCCATCAGTCTGTTTTCCAACAGTCTACCCAGGGGTGACAAAGCCACCTTCGATGGTCTACACTGGTTTAAAGTGTGATCCTCGGGTGACAAAGATGGATTGACCAAAAGTTCAGGACCTCCTAGAAAGCTGGACCTCTCTCCTCCCATGTTAATCATGTTGCTCTTAGAACATTCATTGGTTCTAGGTGCCGCATTTGCAAAGGGAGGCAGACTAAAGGAAATATATTCCAAGGATTGTGACCAGAATGGTGAGGAACTCCAGGTTATGTCCTGCGAGGAGACAGCTGAGGGTTCAGGCACATTTGACCTGGAATGAGGATGTTGATGGTAAACTAGAACTGTCCAAATATCTGAGGGACTGTCTCACACAGTGATTAGTTTGTTTTCTTATCATCAAAGTGCAAAACTAAGGCCAAAGGGAAGAAGTCAAAGAAGGACAAGTTTCTTTTCAAAGGAATCAAGGACAATTTAACTGTAACATGCTGAGTAGGGGGGAATTTGTGAGTTCCCAGGTACTAGGGTTTTTCTACACGCAGGTTACAGCACCTCTTATCCAGGGTGTTGTGGATGGGTATTAATGTTCATGGCTGGACCCATGGCTCCTTCCATATTGTGGCTCTGCACTCCTCGGAGTCCTCTGTATCCAGCCACGATGGAGAATGGAAGGGTGGGGAGCACCACGTGGGAGTTTTTATGGCCCAGATCTGGAAATGGCACATAACATTTCTTCCCTTCTGTTGGTAGAACTTAGTCCACACCCAGGTGCAGAGGAATCTGGAAAGGTAATCTAGCTGTAGCCCAGTCGGGAGAGGAAAGAGGTTTTGGTGAACACATAGAAGGTTCTGCCAGAGATACAGGGGCACATTCATTCAGGAAGGCCCATGACAGAAGAGATGAGAGAGTTTTGTAAGAACCTGTGGGGCTACCTGTGCTGCTCAGCCCTTGTCAGTGAGGGCAGGGAGCTGAAGAGGCCCCCTTCCTTGGGAAATGGTCAGATGTGATCAAACTCCACCTAGCTTGCCTTGGGAAAATCCTCTATAGGCACTCCTAGAAACGTGGGTATGAGATCATCCTGAGTCGTCAGAAGTGAATGTTTTTTAGAAAAACACAGAACTGTAACTATGGAAGTATATTGATGGATAAAACGTGTTGGTTAGGACAGAAAAGGCTCAATATTATTCAGCTCTGTGGATTCATGCTGGAATCATGATTCTCTCAGGAAAACATGTTTCTTCCGCTACAGGGTTAAACACTCATGAGGTCTTCAGTTGAAATTGCTTTATCATTGCAGGTACTGACATTGTGCAGTGGCTTATGAAGAACCTTTCCATCGAAGACCCAGGTACCTGACCCTTGACCCTGCCTTTATCTCCCCTGTTATCAGTAAACAACCCATAACCAAGCTCCGAACTGGATTCTCCCGCCCTCCTGAGAACTGGGGTTATAAATGGGAATTCCAGGATGTGGAATCACTCTATTTACAAATAAAATTAATTTATTTTCTCCACTGAATATCTATCTTTAAATTTAAATCATGCCTTAAGGAAATGAGCAACTATTTAGAATGCCAAAGAGCCCAATACAATAGCGTGTGAAATGAGTTGAATTCTCGTTAGCCGAAGCAATTAAAGATAAGTTGTAGCACTGTCACTGAACAGCCTTCTAGAGCCAGCTCTTAAAATTAGATTGCCTGATCCACAATTAAGATGTTTAATTATTTGCTAAGACTCCTTCTGTTTTCTGCTTCTGCAAGAAGGTGAAGGAATATTTTTTTTCAACTTTAATTGTGCATTTCAATTAGGAAGACCTTACCAGAAAAACAACAACAAAACCCTGACCAATAAAACAGTTTCCAAATCTGTCCTCCCACCAGAAAATAAGGGGTAAAATTTATTTTCACAGCATAATTAGGAAATGGGGAAGGGAGTCTAGAAAAAGGAAAATTCTAAATAAGTAAAGCTTATTATCCATGTGCTGTTAATTAATACTTTTCTGAATTTATTATATATGTCTTTGTCTTACTTAACTGAGTATTCTTGATGACTGAAGGTCACATTTATAAAGACCCACCAATATACTCTGATGTTCTTAATGGACATTGGAGTGATGAGACTTATCTACCCCAAATTAAATGGCTCCAACCACTATGCTTTTTCAAGATTTTTTTTCCTAGTGCCCACTCTAGGTGTCTGGCCTTCAGCTGTGACTTCTCTGGCATTCCTGTATTCTAACCTGACGCTTCTCATCTGCGGCTATGAAGCAATACAATTTGTATACAGTTCAATTAAATGTAGTTGCCAGAAATCTGAGTGCAGAAAAGCTGGTCATTCATGGAAATAACCCGAGCCTTTTCACCACCCTGATTAGTGACTACTCTCACAACAAGTGAAATTTCTTAATTCAAGTCAAGTTCTTAATTCACAGGGGAAAAAACTACAAATGCTAACCCTTTTAAGAGATAGAACCCAACTCAACTCCCACAGCTGCAGCCTGGACTTCTGAGTGTTCATGTGTAAAACCTGGGCTGGATCCTGTTGGCCTTATGCATTCTGGATTTCTGAGTGTCCACTCATAAAACCCGGACTGGATAACCGTCTACCAGTGTAGTTACATTTATTTAAGTCAGCATTTCTTTTGATTATGATGCTAAACTAAGGAACACCTTTCCCCTTTCCTCATGGCAGTCTTTTCTAAGAGCACTGGTTTCTTTGCCCTTCCAAAATAATCATTGTGTATTTCTGCTTTATTTATTTATTTTTATTTATTTATTTATTTATTTATTTATTTATTTATTTTTAAGACCACGTCTCCCTCTGTTGTCCAGGCTGGAATGCAGTGGCCCAATCCTAGCTCACTGCAGCCTCACACTTATTTTTTATTATCATTATTATTATTATTACTATTATTCTGAAAACACTAAACCAGCTGGTAGTAGGTGAGAATGGGCTTCAGGAATCCTCCAGCCCTGGCAGGAGAAGCTTCTCTGCAAGGTCCAGAGTGAGGAGGGTCGTGTTTATAAAGATCCGTCATATTCTGATGCCCTCGGGGGGACAGCAAGCTGTTGGGACCTATTTGGGCTTCTGAGAATGGCTGAGTAGGAGCTAAGAACACTCCTCCAGCTGGGAACAGAGGGGTGTGGAGGAGACAAACCAAAGCCTTGGGAAGCCAGGCATACCCACTGTATGACCACATCTTTTCTTTCTGCCTGTCTGCCAAATTTCTAAGCAAAAACATTTTTGTTCAAAGAATGAAGTGAGAATTTTAGCTCCAAGGTTGGTGACATAAAAGTCACCTTCTTACAGGATTTTGTTCTTTCCCTGGGGAAGAAGCAGCTGCCAATGATGAAATTCTTCTACTTGCTGGACCCGTGTTTCCTAAAGCACAGAGACTTTAGAAAGCAAACTGGTCATCACTAAGCAATTAAAACTCCATTAATTCTAATTCCACCCATTACGCGTGCAAGTTCCTAATAAGCAAAACATTTGGATTATACTCAACCTCCTGACAAGTTTGCAAATAAAGCCAAAACAAATCGCTTTTAAAAATTCAGAGCCTCTGAAATTAATAATCGCTAGAGGCTCCCTGAGCATGTCAATAATCTCCATGTCCAAAGATTAGTTTTAACCAGTAAAACTACTTTGAGATTTGGGAAAGATTATTTTTATGTTTGGTAGGAGCATTGAGGTTTTTAATTTTTTTTCTTAGTTCTGCTCAGGATAAATTCGTAACTATCTATGTGAATCTGTTTATGGCTGGTGCTAAAGGAGCAACAGGCTGACCGTGGCATAGCTGGGGATGATAAAACATGACAAAACTACAAATATGAATCAAGGCCACCAGCACTCAGGGAGTATTTGCCCTGAACCAGATGCTGCTAAGCACTTTATGTGAAATATCTCACTTAATTAAATACAGGTTTATCTATGCCAAAGCTCATGCCCTTAACCATGAAGCCAGACTTTCTTCTGAAGGTCTAGGGGTGGGGAAGGGAGGCTAAACAGTGTCAGACTCTCAGAGCTGGGATCCAGAGGAGTCCCTGACACTTGGTGGCCCTTCCCCACCCTGAGCAAATGCAATCCTGTCATCAGTGCAGATGACACTTAATTTCTGGTTGCCCTTCTGCTCTCCCAGCTTACATTTCAACTAAGTGACCTGCTCCCTAATTCCTTGTCTCTCCTATGTCCTGTTCCTGCAGTTGAAGCAATACACTTGGGAAGCCTCATAGCTGCCCAGGGCTACATCTTTCCAATCTCAGACCACGTCCTCACCATGAAGGATGACGGCACCTTTTATCGTTTCCAGGTAGGCCCACTGGCTCCTCCTCCTGAGGCACCATTTTCTCTCATCTACTGATCTACTCTCAGAACTACCTAAAAGAAAACAAAACTAAGGGTATTTGAGGGAGCAACCCCTCACTCCTCGTCAGCACTGGCAAAGCCAAGAGAACTTTTATCTGGGCCGTTGGTTGACACACTTAAATAATAGTAAAAGGCCCTTGTGGAGAGCCTACTCTTTGTTGGGCACTGTCTTAGTCCGTTTGGGCTGCTATAACAAAATACCATAAACTGGGCAGCTTATAAACAACAGAAATTTATTTCTCACAGTTTGGAGGCTGGGAAGTCCAAGATCAAGGTACCAGCAGATTTGGTATCTAAGGAGGGCCCACTCTCTGGTTGCTAGATGGCACCTTCTAGCTGTGTCCTCACATAGCATAAGGGATGACGGCGGGGGGGGGGGGTCCCTCTCAGGCCTCTTTTATAGGGGCACTAACTTCATCCATAAAGATTCCACCCTTATGACCCAATTACCTTCCAAAAGCCCCACCTCCTAATACCATCACCTTGGGGATTAGGATTTAAACATATGAATTTGGGAAGGACACACACATTCAGACCATGGCAGATAGTTTGCACATATATCCTCGTTTATTCTGAAAAATACACTTTGGGGGTTGGGGGGTAAATATCACCCATTTCATAGATGAGAAAACTGAGGTGCTCAGATAATTAATGTGGCATTTAGTAAATCCAGGAGGTAGCCTTGATTTGAGCCTGATCACACAGTCTACTATATCATGCTGCTTTCCTGGAGTGGATTTACTACCTACTCATCCTCCCCACTCATTTTACACTCCTTCTCCCAGGTCCAGCCCCAGAGGGAATTGGTGCAGAGGATGGGGGTTGTGCCAAGGTCTAAACCAAAGGGATTGTAAGCAGAGTTTTTCAGACAGGGTTAAAGGGATAAAAGGAACTCAGGCTTGCAGACCCAGTAAACTGTGTCACCTGACTTCTGTAGTTAGACTTCTGTTGTCTTGGGATAAAAAAAAAATTGCCCTGTAAACTCAGCTCATTTTTACATTTATTTTGCTTACTGTACCTCTTATTTCTCAACACGTAGATTAAAATGTTGACTTGCCTCAGCTGCTTTAGAGAACGGGAGAGAGTTGGAGCGTGGTGTCAGCAAGAGGGAGACAAGGAGAGCCTGTCACATGGGCAGCTCCTCCCTGGGTGCAGGGGAGGGCAGGTCCCAGGGTGTGTCCGAGTCCTGACACCTGTGCTCTTTTGCAGGCTCCTTATTTCTGGCCTTCAAACTGCTGGGAACCTGAAAACACTGACTATGGTGAGAACCGAAGCCACAGCACACACTTTGTGTCACTCCTGGTAGTGCTGAAGACAAATGCTTGGTGTCTGGGTGACCACATGCATGGGGAGGAAGGGTCTTGACCCTGATCTGGCATTTCTTATGTTGACACATAATAGTCTACTGTTCCAATAATGGAGGAAGGCAGAACACACTGGAAGATGCAGTCCCAGGAAGGGAAGGGGAAAGGGAAGAAAAGTTTTATCAAGAGATGCTCAATAATGTTCATTCTTCGGGGCCGGGGAGAACTAGGACCCCACAGCAACACTATGGGACAGTGGCTTGTGATCGCTCCTTCCAAGAGCAGGGTTTCAGGGAGGGCTGGATCAAGGGGCCACCTCCCCCTGGTCCTTTCTGTTTTCATGAACTTATTGAAACTTACTAATTGAAACTTACTAATAACTCATTGGTGCTTTGATGGTTGGAAGTTAGGAGAAAAGAGGGAGAGACCAGAGTGGGATGTACAGGAGTCACCCTGGACTAGGAAAATAGTGAGCTAAGTTGGGAGCTCTCTCTCTCCAGGCAGGGACCTATTAGACGTTTGCCACATACTCTCAGTGGAGACTACTTAATATTTCTATGTGCCAGTTCTCTGAAGAAGTTATATTATTGCTATGCTGCTTAAGAGAAAAGACCTGAGGCCCAGAGAGGTCACAGGCTCACACTATCACATTTGTCTGAATGCCCATGACTATAAGCACCATGAGGGCAGGGACTGGTCCACCTTGTATATTCTCATATCCCCTGGTGCATAGCACATGCCTGAGACATAGTTGGTTCCCGGTATATATTTGGTGACGGTTCTGGTTCCTTATTGAAGGTGCTCAACAGACACTCACTAGAGGCAGCAGAACTTGAACTCAGATCTAAGTGGCTCCAAAGCCCATGCTTCTTTCATGCTTCCACGTAGGATGTGCCTGAAGGTCATAGCAACAGCACTGCCCCTTTGCATGGCATCCTTGCTGCTGACTCAGCTGCTAGGAGACCCGTCTGTGGCTCTCCTTGGGACTGGGCAGTCAGGGAGACCTGCAGCCTCTGCCTGGCTTCTTTGCGGGATTGCTTAGAGCAGGAAGGCAGATGGGGCTGCAGTGAGCGGGTACGTAGGTTTGCTCAGGGGACTGTGCTCAGGGGACCCTGTCTGGGAGACCTATGGGATAAGCTACAACCTGCAGGTCACATGTTCAACAGAAGGGAAACCAGCAACTGGGAGCCATCCCGAGGATGGAATGCAAGCGGATCAGGCCTTATAAGGCTCCGGTGGTTCCTTCTCCAGGTCTGGAGGATGACGGTCATGCAGAAGGACAGCCCTGGGGCTGTCTGCTCAGCTGTCCACGGGCCCATTGTGGGCCCTCTGACACTGTGCTGCCCCCTAAATGATACGATAAGTGGACCCAGCAAGGCTTCAAGCTCTGAGCAGGAGCTGCATTTGGCTGCTCATAAAACCAGTGTTTCAGGGGCTGAAAGATCTCTCCTGAAAGCCCAACTTGGAATTTGAATAATTATAGCTCAGATCCATGCAGCAGCCACGTGCCTTTGTGCGTGTGAAAACCAATGTTTTTCCAGGCAATGGAGAGGGTGGGAGGTTGGTAAGACCAGATATTTACTGCAGGAAAGCTTAGGCCATCTTACACTGAGTTCAAAGGGCATCAGTTCTCTGTCTCTATGAGTATTCTCTATTTCATAATTTTATTTGTGCATCATGAACAAGGACAGAAATAATGGTTTGTTTTAGGCTCTCATCAAAGCAAAATTATTCTGAATTCCTATGCCTCAGTGTCTGGAAAAGCAGAGGGAGAAGTCAAGGTGCAGGATCCAGAAGTGCCAGTGTTTCCAAAGCACTGTAGTTAGAATATCAGGAGTATTTACCAAGACAGAATTCAGCACAGTAGGCCCCAGGATCAACCAGTTCCTCCAGCTGTGTGATCTTGGCAAGTTACTTAGCCTCTCTGTGCCACAGAAACCTCATATTAAAATCAGAGTAATGATAGTACTTGTCTCCTGGTGTTGTTTTGTTAGGATTAAATGAAATACACTTTAAGTTCAGTGTGTGGCACATGGTAAGGAGTCAGTACTGTGGTGGTGGTTGCCATGACTACTCCTGGGATGGTGGTTGCTATGACTGCAGATGGTGGTGGTTATTATTGCGCTAGGGTAGTGGTTGGTATGAATACTGGGGTAGTGGTTGGTATTACAACTGTAATGGTGGTTATTATTGCTACTAGGGTGGTGGGTGGTGTGATTACTACTGGGGAGGTGGTTGTACTATTGCTGCTGAGGTGACAGCTGATACTATTAGCGCTGTGCTGGTGGTGGTACCATTTCCACTGGGCCGCTGGTTGATATCATTGCTACTGTGGTGGCCTTCTCACCAGAGAGGGTGTGAAACTGAAACTGAGAATTCAGAAGAGGTATGATTTGGACTGATGAAGAACCAGAAACCTGCATTCATTCAACAAATATTTACTGGTCACCTACTCTGTCAATTCCTATGTCACAGATTTGAAGAAGTGACGGTCCTTCCTGCCCAGCACTCCAGGCTGGGGGAGGAGCACGACGGGGGCAGTAGGTCCTGGTGAGGGTCTGGTCCAAGTATCCAAAGGTTTCCTGCTGATGAAAAATGATCGATGAGGTTGACCAGGTTGGGAGGGACAGGTTTATAAAAAGGCCTTGGTAGTCTAGGAGAGATGTTCAGAATGGATTCAGCAGTTTGGGGGGGCCACCGTGGGTCCCCAACAATGAGGAATAACTTGAAAAAAGTTCCCTCGTCTGTAAGATGGGGGCAATAATAGAACCCACATTGCAGGGTCATTCTAAGGACTAAGCGAACATTTGGAAAGTCCCTAGAACAGTGCTTGACATTTGGTGGGCTCAGTAAAAGCGGAAGCTGCTACTGTGGTGATTTCTCCAGCACCCAAGACAGCACTCGACACAGAGGAGGTGCTCAATAAAGTTTACGTGATTAAATGAATGAATAAATGGGTCAGTGAACGTCATGGTGGAAACTCTGCAGAAGTCCGCGCTGGACCTCAGTTCTAACTCCAGCTTGTCATTCATGGGCCTTTGGGTAAATCACTTCATTTCTCTGGGCCCTTAATTTTCCCATCTGTAAATGAGGGGTCTGTACCTGATGGTTGCCAAGGTCACTTCCAATGCTAAAATTCTGTTACTTAAAAAGCAATTAGAGGTTATAAGGAAAACAGAGAAATAAGTGATTGCTATGTTCCCTAGTTTAGGAGACTGAGGTAAATAGTGATGTCACTAGTAAAGACAGTTTGGAAAGGTGTTAGTTTTTTAAGTACATCAAAATCCTAAAAGTTTAATGTTTTAAAAAAATTTGTAATTGCATATGCAATAATGAACCTGTTCCCTTTATAAAATGTTTAAATGTGTTCCATTTTAATTGTGGTGACATGGCGAGCCTGAGGTGGCGGTGGGTTCACCCTAGTGAGGCACAGGTGAGGTTGGAATGCCAGGTGTGAGGGCAAGGAGGCAAAGATTTTTCAGTGAGAAATTAAATGTCCAAGGGAAACCAGCATCTGAGTTTAAAACTAGTCCCCCAGCTGCCCTCCTGTGGGACTGGCTGTCGTTGCCGCGGTCACTCGAGTTGGTTGAGCGTTACAGTGAGCACTGGTGAGGGCACCATGGGGTGCAGACAAGTCCCAGGGAGATCTGTGCCGAGCATGGCTATACCCTGGTTGTGGAGAACAGACCCTAGTGTGGGACAGTAGCCACGGGGGAAGTGGGCTGGAAGCGTGTGACCAGGTGACTTGCAGTCATCAGGAGTGGCACCAGCTGTGCACCCCACGCACAGTCCCAAACTTCACATCCCCACTGGCCCATTTTGACCCAGATGGGTTGGAAATTTCTTGGGATGATTCTGCCTGCATAAAACGCATCGTCCAGATCCGGGTTAGCCTCTTCTGAGTCTTACATTTGGCCAATTCAAAATACTGTCCAGGGCAGTATAGTCAGAGCAGCTGCCACCTCCATGGACCTGCACTGCTGGCGGGTCATCCTGACCAGGTGTGGTGGGGCTGGTGACATGCCAGCCTTCCTTCTTGAGGTTGCCCCCAATTCCACAGGCTGCCTGTGGTCCAAGAGAGTGAAGGAGGCTCATAGTGATAGAACTGACAGCCCTTTATCAGATACAAGGGCTACTTGGTTCATTGGAAAACTTGGTAAGTAGAAAATCATTAAAAAAATGATATGTGCAATACCTTAAGAACCTTATATGAATGTAAGGAACATTCGTTTGACGGCCTTTTGGGGTAGGACCAAAGACTTACCTTTGACTATGAGCCCTAATAACTTGAATGTCTTTCTTAAATAAACCACACTCACAATAAACCACCCAGTTTTGGTATCTTTAAAGTGCATCAAGAATTTAAAGGCGCTTTTGAAGCCTTTAAATATTGGCCTCCCCTAGATTTGTGTTATTTTTCCCGTCTTTTCCAGTTGTCTCGCCTTTACCAAATTCACTAGCAATTATCTTAGCCAGCTTTCCTTTACGTTGTTCCAAACCATTCAGCTGAGTTTTCATAGGAACAACAAATCTCTCTCTTTCACATTAATTTCACTGTCATACGAGATATTATTTAGTGAACTTACATGACTAAAACAACAGCTATGCCTGACACAAGCAGATTTGGGAACAAGCACAAGTGACTCCTATGAGCACACAGTTGGCCTGGAGAAGGTGGGAGTGTGGGCATGCCAGAGGGCAGGCTCCTGGCTATACAGGTTCTAAACTATCATAGGCGCCATTGGTAAATTTTTTACAGCAAATGGAGGCAGTTGGATGACCCATTGACTAGAGATCTCTCAGTATAGTTAAGAAATCTTGTTGTCAGGCAACAAAATGATTGCAGGTTCCCTGTGACCTCCCCTCCTGACCATTCTATTGTTCGTTCATACCATTCCTGTACTACTTTCCCTGGGTCATTCCAGTTGGCACTGGAGAAGGAAGAAGACACTGAGGAAGTGAAGGGAGGGAGAGGAGGTGATGAAGGCCATGTTTGAAGTAGAGTGTCCTGGCAACTGAGGACCAAAAGCCCTTCCCTAAATTGTGCTCCCTTTCTACTGTCCTCTCACTCCAGGGCAGGCCCTGGTGCTGGGGACAGGGAAAAGAGCTGCATAGGACAAAGCCTCTGCCCTTGAAGAGCCCTCAGCCTAGAGCAGGGGACAGTCCTGTAGACACAGGAGCTCTGTGCCATGGAACTAGGCTCCATGGTCAAGGATACACAGATGCTATCTGGAACACCAGGCCGGGTCTTCAGAGGCTAGTTAGGAGGTCACCAGATAGCCAGAGGGAAAGAGAGAAGAGACGAGGACCTTCTGTGGAAAGGACACATGCAGAGGAGTGGAGCTGACAGTTTGATGGCCTCTCGGTCCCTGAGGGAGGGAGGAGAAGAGGTTGGCTAGATAAGCAGAGACTGGATCACAAAGAACCACATTTACCACCCTAAGGAGCCTGACCTCACTGCTGAGGCCGTCGAGGATTCCATGCAGAGAGCTTTCAGATGCAGGGGTAACATGGTCATATTTGTGAAAGGTCATTGAGTGGAGAACATTCGTGGTGAAGCAGAGTGAGGGAGAAGAAGGGGAGTTGTCAGGATTGGAAGATGGGTCCCCATCTGATCATGACCTACGAGAAGACCCCTAGGGAGCAGGTGCTGTGGCTTCCACCTAGAAAACATGTTCTTCCCAGGACAGTGCTGGGCTGGGTGGCTGGGTGGCTGGGAGGACTTGGGTGGAGGAGTTGATGATTCCACTGCACTGCTGGCTTTGTACATGTCGTGCTTTCTCCTCTTCCCTCAGCCATCTATCTCTGCAAGAGGACGATGCAGAACAAAGCGAGGCTGGAGCTGGCAGACTATGAGGCCGTAAGTGTGATTATTCTCCAGGCCAAGTGGGAGAGTAAAATCATACCTGTAGCTCAGTTGAAGCTTGTATTTTTCCTTTTTCCCCAAGTCCCTTTCAGACAGTGGAAGGGAAATCTCTTCTGTTTCCCTCCTTCGTTCTCTGCTCCTCTTACCATTACAATAAAAGTTTACATAAATAATTCTCAAAACTCAGCACTAAAAAAAAAACAAAAAAATTCTGTGTCCATAATAATTAAAAATTAAAAGATAAAAAAATAAACAACTCAACCTAAAAATTCAATCTGGAAAATAAGACAAGATGCATGTCACATGCAGTGTCCGCTCCCCAGCTTTCTTACCTTCCTCCTGCATCTTCCTTCATACGATGTGGTTCCTTGCAAAAATTAGAGGCTCCACCACCATGCTCATGTCCATTCCCACGTGACAGAACCCGGAAACCAAAACACAGAGAACTTGAAAACTCGCAGATAATTTAAGATATATTTTTAACTTTTGGTTGCAGAATTTTCCCCAAAACTGAACTTTATATGTGTCACAGAGAATCCAGGAAATCTGGTGTACCTCCCACTTGCCTCTCCCTGCTCCAGGGCAGGTGCCGCTGAGCCAGGAATGGTGGACGGGCCCGCAGCCATGGGAGGAGGAGGAGCGACATCAGGGCAGTGGAGACTCCTTCCCTGGGCATCCCAGCATTAACATCATCCTCAGGCCCTCACTTTCAAATGCCCTTCCCACTTTCACCGCCTCAATTTCCAAAACAACCATAAGGCCCCACTCTGCCAGGCCTTGCCTGTCTTGGGTGCCCAAGCTTACCAAGCCACAGGGCCATGGCTCCCCTTCCTGCCACCCCAGGGTGAATGTGCACGCCATGGAGAGCAGCACCCGTGCACGGCCCTCCACTCTCTTTGATCCCGCTGGCACCAAGGACCTGTGAACGGTCAGGCACAGTAGAGGGGGTGCAGTGCAGGAGTTTGTCCAGAGCCTCGGGACCTGGCTGAAGTTTGCCATGTCACATCCTATGTTGGATACTATGATCATCCCAAGCAAACCCTGGCATGGTTGTTCTGTGGCTCTGAGCGTCCAGGGAGCCTAGTCCTGCCCCTGTCTGCTCTGATGCCCAGCAATCACGTCACCCTCCTTTCAGAAGAGTGCTGTTGTACTCCGTGGAGAGCTTTGACTTGATGACATCACTTCCCCAACACGACCTTTAGGAAAGACCCAGACTGCGTGTGGCACCTCCATCCTGTGCTTCTCTTCCCCATATTTTCCATGTTTTAGAAAGTATCCTATACAGAAATAAGACAGCCTCGACTCCTGCTGTATGTTACCCAGTTTTCTCTTCTCTTGCCCCATAACGTTGTGCTCTAGTATTTACAAATGGCATTAAGATGTTCTCCCAAGTTGAAGTTCTGCATGAAAATGACTAGGAATTAGAAAAGCATTTTGTTTCCAAAATGCAGTAACTTTATTAAAATTTTATGATTATATATTCTCTTTACAGAAACAAAAACTCAAAAAACAAAAGAAAGGAGAGAAAATAACCTGTGATTTGTCCCCCTGCCCCAAGTTTTTTCTATATATACATTTTTTTCTTTACTAAAAAAAAAAATTGACTCAGACCATAAACATTACTGTAACAGCTGCTTCTTGCCCCAATCATGTACTGTTGGTATTTGGAAATCCTTCCACACCCATAACGATAATCGACACTATTGTTTTTAGTGGCTGCCTAGAACTCCGTGCTATGACTGTCACACTTTGTATTACTCCTCAATTGCCTGACATTTGGGCATTACCAGCTATATATCCTATGAACAGTGGAAGAGTCAGAGACAGTTTTTTAGAAGTACTAGCACACCAAGCCTTGGTAATAGCTGTGAGTTCATGTGTGGCGCTCTCCAGTTGAAGCTCCCTTTGTATTCGTAATCCACTAATGAGGATAATCAATTAGTGTTGGCGTGAGCTCTATGAAAATACACAGCATCATGTGGGCTCCAGCCTTGCATCCATCTGAATTAGTAGGATCATTAGGGAACCTGTCAAACTCCCCTCCTCACTGTCCTAAAGTTCCACAAGGCAAACTCTATAGACTTGGAGAAAATCTACTTGCTTTTTTCTCTAAAGGCGACCCTTAATGGCTTTTCTTTCTGTTTTTGGCTTTTCTTTTCATGAACATCACAAACATAGACACCCCCTTTGGGCCACTTTTTAGTCTTGAACTTAAGAAGCACTATTAGCCAGGTCCTCTTGGTTCACCTTTACCGTGACCTTCCCAGCTCCCTGCTGGAAGATGAGTCCTGAGAAATCCAGCCTTGGCTTTGCTCCAGAGATGCCCTACAGGTTGCAGGGAGTCCATCGTTCATTCCCCAACCGCCACAAACCATTCTATCTATTCCAGCAGCCTTTATAACAAGTGCTGTGTGGGTTCTGTTCTTGTAAAACACACATGAAGAGAGGGATCAGGTGGACCGTACAGACGTCAGACTTAATGGGTGTCCAAATTAATATGAATGCTCCGGCTCCGTGCAGCAGGGTCTGGTGCAGAGTCAAATTGGGTACATGTCCAGTGGATTTAAAGTGGGCCCTGCTGTTTTGTCGAGAGTAACCCGAATGGATGGCCGCGTTGTAGTAAGCACAGGTGTGCGTGTGCTAGCATACAGTGATTAATGCCTTCTTGTTGGTTTTCATTTCTCATTAGGAAAACTTAGCGCGACTGCAGAGGGCCTTTGCGAGGAAGTGGGAATTCATCTTTATGCAAGCAGAAGCACAAGTAAAGTAGGTGAACTTAATCGAGACCCTTTCAGAGAGAAAAAGATTCTGGAATTTGGAGATGGTGTGAGAGTGGGATTGCCAAAGTGAGGTTTCCAACTGGGGTTAGTCGCTCCAATCTCTCAGGAGAGTGACCGAGTAGAAATTCAGGACAGGATGGAGAAGTGTCATCTTTTGTAATCAAGGTCACCCTGAAATAATTTCAACAGCGTGTGCTTCAGCAGGCAAGGGAGAGCCTCCCAAATGCAGAACTCTGGTCATAAGAAGGTGAACCTGTTTCCCCAAAGAGAGTCCCAGTGATTCTTCTGTGCTCAATGGTCGAAAAACATCAGACCCACTTTATCTGGAGGACTGCAGATTTCATCTTCATAGGAAAACGTATTGGAGTTTTAGGGAGGACAACAAGTACCCCTCTTCTGTTCTCCCCCACAGGGGAGGGGTTTCGAGCCAACTGAAAAATAAGGCACAGAAGTCAGACATTTGGGGTCCCACATGTCAGATTAGTACATTCATTAGAGGCTAGGTCACAGGGCTGGCTTTGGAGCGCATCCGTCCTGGGCAGAGGTGAGCATCTGTAGGCTCGCCGGGGCAGAGCGCAGCCCTGTGGGTTCACTGCATGCAGAGAACACATGTCCTGAGGGCGGGCTGACACAGATGGGGCCCAGAAAGGGCCAGCCTGAGCTTTCTCAATTTCTTCTTTCAAATCTACCGATAAGTTAAGTCACTTTTCCTCCCTAAAGGACAAGCAATGAAAGGAAGAGAAAAGTTGGAAGGGTTTTTCCCATATTTTTTTCTCCCATATCTATAGTGGAAATTCCTTCCTCTCTAAGGACACATGAGGGCTGGGGAATACATGGCCCCCAGCCACACACGTGGGTGTCCACCAGACCTGTTTAATTCTGGGAAACAGAACTGCTCGGGTCCAGATCTCCCTTGTCTTTTCTGGGGGTGGCGTCTGGTTTAGCCGGGATTGTTAACAGGAGCGGGACAGGGAGGGCGGGGAAGGGGTGCTGAGCTGGGAGAACGCGAGTACCTTTGCTGCGGGCAGCACCTGCACGTGAGCATCCCGTGGTGGGCAGCGTTGCAGCCCTGGACCTGCACCCGGGCCTCAATCACAGCGTGGTCACAGTGGGAAACACCTAGGACATCTGGTCTGGTGTTCTGCCCGCTGCCATTGCTGTGACATGCCCTCTGCACCCCGAGGGAGGTGGACGCCAGGCACCGGGAGCTGAGCCGCAGCAGAAGGCACCCGAGGAAAGGGAAGGTGGGCGAGTGGGTGGGACGGCGGCTGGGACTCAGCTGGGCTAAGGTAGAATTGTGCCTGTGTACTCAGAAGCCACCGGGAAGCCAAGAGGAGCGCTAATTTGTTCTTCCAGAATCAAGCAGTATCACAAGGTATACAAAGGAAAGGAAACTGCCACTTCGTACATATATGGTATTTCTGGATTCACTTTTTTTATTAACTATGTGATTACATTATAATTGTGGACTATTTAAGTACACAGTAATTATCACAAAAATCATGGGGGTGATTATGGGTTTATTTCAGTCCAGTAAACTGAAGTGTTCCCAAGAGAGCCAAGAACCAGAAGTTACACAGCAATTAATCTGATTTGCTTTTTACTTGGAGAGAAAATATGAAGTAATACATGCTTTAAAAAAAAAAAAAAAAAGAGTCTCTTATCTGTGCTGCAGATCAGAACGTAAAGAATCTGTCCTTGTCACCTGTAATTTTCTTCCTGCAATTTGTGCCTCCCCCAGCTGAGGCCGGTGATACTTGCCTTCTGGATCTTGTCGCACGTTAGGGCCATTATGCTGCCTTTAGAAAGCCAGGTGGTTTAAGTGACTTTTAAAACACATAAATTGCAGCATTTTAAAGACCTTTCTATGATTCTAAATCTAAAGCAAACTTTCAAATTTGAAGACGGAACACTGGCAAGGTGGTGGCTATGTTCCTTCTTATAATCAGCATCTACTCTGATGAGGGGCGCATATCGAATGGATAATTCACTTCTTACTAATCCAAATCTTAATACTTCAGATGAACAGCTGCTTTCTTGTTCTTCCCTTAGGCTACCAAGTTCATTGCATACATATGGCAATCTGTAATCTAGGCTAAAACAAGCTCTTTCACCATGTGTGGAATTTCTGAGGTTTCCTGGAGGGAACTGTACACCTGTATTTCCCAGCTCTGCAGAGAGCAGTGGCCACGCAGGGGCCAACAGCCTTGTGTGCGTTAGCTCCTAGAAGCAGGTGCAGATTGCCGGGGCAAGGGTCACAAGGAAAGAACAGAATACAAAAGCCTCTCACTTCCTCTCTTCGCTCTTTCAGGATTGATCGCAAAAAGGACAAGACAGAAAGGAAAATCTTAGATAGTCAAGAACGGGCCTTTTGGGACGTCCACAGGCCAGTGGTGAGAAAGCTCTACTTGATTCTCTAGTGTTTTGTTTTGTTTTGTTTCTGAATTTTTCTGCTTCCTTCTCTCGAAAGAAAAGACTGTCTTTAGCCACCAGGTGTCTCATCCTTAAGAAAATTGCTGCGCTTTGTGGAATTGTTTTACCATTCCTTCATATAATCTCAGTAGATTTTCTGGAATGTGTGTCAGTTCCGCCTCTTAAAAATTATCCATGAAAATATGGAGTTGGAAATGGAGGAGCTATGGAGATCCCACCAGGGGACCTTTGGGTCCCCAAAGTTTCCATTCCCCAAATTAATAATTTCCATTTCCACTGTCATTCCACTCTGAATCTTAAAACATTCCCTTTCAAATACAGTTCATTGTTGTTATTCATGGCGGTGGTGTTCTATAAAGTCTTTGCAAACACCTCGCTAGCGAATACTGTAGGATTGCTCCTGGGGGAAATGCAAAGTTAGGTGCCTGTGAGCCTCCGGTCACAACCGATCAATAGGTAACCTTATTTAAGGTATGCTTCTTGTGAAGACAGCTTATTTGGTGTATGTTGTTGATTCATTAACATTGCGCGCACAGCCAGCAGCACCGGGACTCATGCCTGAACAAAGCTTATCTACGTGTGCATTTCCTCCTTAGGCACATCACAGCCTTCTTGCATTGAGAGACAGCGGACAGCACTTCAGCACCCTGCTTGGGCCATTTTAAACAGCAAAATCACCAGCAAAAAGCACAAAAATGCAGGCAACTTGGCACTAAATAATCCCTAACTAGACTGATTTACAGTATGAGGTTTGAAACCAGAAGGCAGAAGGTCGTGTTGCCCAACCTCTGCTGGGAACATGCACATCCGGGAACTCAAAATTTTTACCACTTAAGTAGTAAACTTCTCTTTCCTTCTCCTCAAAAAACAAAATTGTTACCACTCTATGAATGCTCACAAATGGTCATTAAAGTGCCATGAGTACCGATTTGGGGGTTACAAATAAATTTTAGCAAGTAGGCGAATTTACAAATACAAAATCCGTAAATAATGAGGTTTGATTGTATTTCTAATTTCATGTTACTAAGACACGTCTTGCATTTCCCTCATGAAATGGAACTAAAAATGAATTAACTATTAATATTTCACTCTTCCTAAAAACTGATTAAAAGCAAAAACAAAAAATTAGCTGCCCATCCTGACATTGGAGTCTGATGGTTAGGTACGTAAAATAGCAAAGGCTGTGGCTAAAGCATTCTTGCCATTTGAATAATAAACTTGCTCTTAGAAACTGTGCCCTATACCCTCTACATATCGTCCTTAGATATTATGAGGTAAGCTTTCATATTTCATATGAGAACTCCATAGAGAAACACATATTACAGCAAGATGGGAAAAAACCATGCATTATCTATCTGTACTGGGAAAGATAAAGGTCGGTTCTGATGGTATTACTTGGGCTGAATTGGAAGAGTAATTCTTCACTTAGTAATTTATACGATGATTTTTTTTTTCTCAGCCAGGCTGTGTGAACACAACAGAAATGGATATCAGAAAATGTCGACGTTTGAAGAATCCGCAAAAGGTTAAAAAGGTTCGCTAGTTTGGCTGAACTAAAAATTCTTAAAGTAAATAGCCCTCCCAACTCTAGTACTGTTCAAACAGTAATTTATTATTTGTAATTCTAACACAATTTTGTCTTTTGAGACCATTTCATTCATTCATTCCACAAATGTTTATTGAGCGGCTGACGTGTGCTCGCTGGGATACGGTGGCAGGTCCCCACCGAGCCCGCGGTCTGGCGGGGGTGAAACAAGCCGGCAGGCTGTGAGTGCTGTCAGGGGGAGGACAGGGTGGTTGAGGAGCACAGGAGGGCAGCTAAGCCAGATGGGGGCTTCCCAGGGCTTCCTGAAAGCAGGATTGGGTGTGCTGAAGGGGAAGTAGCATCTGGCTCTGGGGAGGTGGCAGAGAGGGAAGGAAAGGGAACAAAAGGAACAGAAAGAGGGAGAGCCCACAGGTGAAAGTGAGCTTGGTACTTAGAAGCCAATGAAAATCTTCTAGGAGAGCTGGTTCGTCCAAATTCAAATCATCATCTTGCACAACAGCGAATGACCCAGTGGTCACTTGTCTTTCCCTTTACTGAAAGGCATAGTGGCCATAGCACACCCATGAGTGCCACGCTCGGACTGCCCGCCAATGTCTCCATATGTCTCACCTCTCCATGGCGCCAAGGTCAATATTGTGGCCGTACTCCATAATATTAATTCCAAAAAGTTGGAGAGCAATCCTCTAGCCTTGGCCTCCCGGAGTGCTAGGACCCCAAACATTCCTATTTCTTGTAATGACCAGTTATCTGTCCCTCATATATGTATGTGAGACACACATACACACACACACACACGCACACACACACACAAGAGAGACACATGACACACACATATATACAAACTTCTTGAATCTACTTATATATTTTGTTCTTCACTGGGATATTATATTATATTTTAAACTATTAGTTTTAAATTGTCCTAATTCAATCTTCAAGGGCCCCTTAAATTCTGATATTGTAGAGTTTCATAGAGTCCCGTCCACTTTATCTGGTTTTGTTTCTTTCCCAAATTCTTTCCCAAAACAAAGATGGAATTTATCTGTCCATACCACCAGAAACAACTTAAAAAGTGTTACTAGCTGTAGCTATGTACATGTCGAGAAACCGAGGCCAGAAAGCTGTTAAAAGGGACCACCCAAAACCTGCCATCTCAATTTGGTACCAGATGGGCATGCCCTCCACTGACCCACAGAAAATCTAGAGGGGATTTTCCTGCATCATCTTCAGCAGTTGTTCTTGAACTTTCTTTGGCCTCAGAATTATCTGGGGTGTTTGACAAAGGTGCAGATTCCCACCCCCCCCACAAAGATTCCAGTTTGGCAGGTCTGGGGTCGGCTCAGCAATGTGCATCTTTCCCAAGAGCCCCCAGATGCTCTTTGCAGATGGTCTGTGGCCCATGCTTGGGGAAACACTGATACACCAGGAGGCCATTTTCAGCTCCATAGAAGGCAGGATTTTCTAAGTGGAACCCAAAGGTGGGGTGAGCTCCTTCAAGAGATCTCATCATTGAAGAAACCGAAGCAGAGGCCAGTCACTTACTGTCAGATGTCAGGTGGGGATTCAAAGAATCGGACGAGTGGTTGAACCAGCTGACCCCCAGGCCACCTTTCAGCTCCCAGGTGAGACGACTCCATGTCCTTATTTCTTCTTCTAGTCGGTGTACGGTGTGACTGAGGAGTCCCAGTCTCAGAGCCCCGTGCACGTCCTCAGCCAGCCCATCAGGAAGACCACGAAAGAGGACATCCGGAAACAGGTGAATGGGCTGACAGCTGCAGGCCCGGGAGGGGACGTGGCCAGCTGAAAAGCCCTTGCAGTGTTTCCCCCTGACGGCGGAGTGAGCTCTGAGCTCCCGGACACCGCAGGGGAGCCCAGCTGTGGGTGACTCAAACCTTTGAGAGTTGTGTGTGAACAACCACGGAAGCTTGGGAGATGGAGTTGTTGAATACAAGGTTCCACAATTGGGTTATCCCAGTACCACTACGGCTGTTTCCTCTGTAGCCAGAGGAGAGGTCCTTAAAATAGTAACTTGCTTCTCCAGCAACCCAGCTCAGGACCACCCTTTATTTATTTATTGCTGTAATACACAAGGAAAGTTTAAAAATAAGGAAAGCCCTACAGCCAGTGCCATTGCAGCATGATCTGGTTGAATGTTATTTTCCTTTGCGATCAGGAGCCCGGGTCAACGACAATGGCCAGTTATGTTACCCCCTTCTGATGTGTGCTGGTAACGAGGCACCACAGGGCCTGCTATTCATCTTGTGCCTTACTGGCTTCTGGGGGCACAAACGCAAAGGAATAAACGTTCAGGTGCCTGCCCTGGACAAGTTTATTATTGGCTGGGGGAGAGGAAGCAGATGTAGGTGACAATAGCTATTTGATGATTACAGTCGAGCACACCAAGCACACAGGTGTGACGCACATGCAAAAGGTGGGCAGAGGAGAGGTCACCAGGGGTTAGTGAAAACAGGTGTTTATGGTGCACATATTACCTGTCTGTGCTGTTGCTGAGCTTTGTAGAATCTACATGGTCTTTAAGTTTTGGAAATCAAGACTTACATCATGACCCAGTGCAGGAGGATATGTGACATGGGCGAAGGTGTGGACTATGAATAGTAAGTGTGGTAGGAATGTCCGGAGAGCAAAGAGGTCGCTGACATGCAAGGCTGGAGGGTTGGCGAGGTCTTGCCAGAGGAGGTGTTTGGACCTTGGTGGAAATAGAGGATTTGGGTTCATGGAGTGAAGGGAAAAAGGGAATTCTATTTTTGGTCTCAACATCCCTGTTTTCTCTTTCCCCAGATTACATTTTTGAATGCACAGATTGACAGACATTGTTTGAAAATGTCCAAAGTGGCTGAAAGGTATGTTTCTCCTCAATAATATTGCTGCCTTCTTCTAACTTAACAAGAGAGAAATGTTGCAGGGTTATGGTTAACAAGTGTGTTCCATTCCAAGAGTCAGACTGTGGTTCCTCCTTAGACTAAGGTGTAAAAACCCCTCGGGCTCTGTGGGAGCATAACCAAGATAACAGACCTCCGTGAGTGATGTCAGGAAATGGTCCGTGGCTAAAGCTTTCCAGGCAGTGGCCACAGGATGTTGTCAATCAAGGAAGAATGTCCTTAAAATCTACATAATGCACTTTTGCCTTCAAAGCCTCTCAATTAACTCAAATGGAATTGCTCACTTTTCAGCTATAAAATGCCCAGATTCACTTTATAGGGGGAAAGAGATTCTGTGCATCCTTTAAGGTGCTGGCCACGTAAACAGGGGGGCCTGGATCATGGGGAGGCGTTTTGCCTCCACGCGCCACCGGCCGCTGAGCTGCATCGAATCAACTGGAAAGAAAACACTTGGCCCCTCCAGCCTGGCTTCCGCAGCGGCGTTTGTGCTACAGTCTGCGCCAACAGCTAGTTCCACTCTGTTAACTCACGAGAGACTCAATTTTATTAACGAAATGGTCTGTTTTTAACTCTTCAGTGAAGAAGGGAGACCACCTGGGGAATCTGTACAGAATAAATCTAATCAGACATCCCAGGACTGAACATTTATTCATCCATCCGCCACCATTACAGCGATGACCAATTTCTGCAGGAATCAAGGGCTTACATCGGGTCTTAGTATTTATTGGACGTCAGATAAACTGAGTTTTTAAGCCCGGCTCACGCAGGGAGCTGGCTGCGGGATCAACCTGGAAGCCTTTCTCTGTCAGCCCCCGTGTCAGCCACCTCACCTTCTAGATAAATAACAACAAATGGAAGCTACAAACACTTCAGCCCCAAACAAAGAGCTTGAATTAACACTCTGCCTTCAGGAGGTTAAGGGCGTCCCTGGATTTGGACTCATGTCTTTGGTGGCATCTTGCATCTGTTCCAGGGTTTCTCCATAGTGGCACAGTTGACATTCTGGGCCAGATAATTCCTTGTTGTGCTCTTCGTGTCCTGCGCATTGTAGGATATTTAGCAGCATCCCTGACCTCTCCCCCTAGAGGCCAACGGTGCCCCCTCGCACCTTCCTAACTGCTCAGCACCACAGCTGTAACAACCAAAAATGTCTCCAGACACGGCCAAATGTCCCCTGGGTGTGGTCAAAATCACCCCCATTGAGAATCGCTGCCAGTCCTATTGTCCCTGATGCAAGTGCTGCAGAAAGCTGCGGTGGCCGGGGCTCAGTGCACCCTCAGATCCCGATCATTCTGGGGTCGCACTTGCAGCCCACTGCAGGCTGCCGGGCCACCTCACGCCTCCACGTCATAATGTGGGGCTCCTGGCCAGAGTACCAGGCCCTGAAAATGCCATTTAGGTCTCTTTGCTCAAAAAAAATGGCTGTGAGTGACATAGCAGGATGGCCTACTCTGTTTGTCATAGCCCATGATATAGGGCCAGAAGAGGCTGTCCTGGTATGATGTGAGAGTGTGCGTGCCGCAGTGCTATTGTCTGGCCTTGGAAGGGCTTTTTGGGGTTGCAGTTATAGGAGACAGTTTATGTGGGAGCATCTTTCCTCAGGTCCGGTTGCTCGGGTCCCATGGTTCTGAGCACGGTAATCCAGGTAAGGGACAGGGGTTAAACAATGGAACTTCCCAAGCCTCTGCCACAGGGACTCATCCGTGTTTCTGGGGTAGAGCCGAGGAATCGCATTTTGGATAATTTTTGAGGCTCTGGTGAAGCCCTTGCCTGCTACTCAGATGCCCTGAGACCTCCCAGCAGAAGGGACACCCAGTTTGCCTTGTCTTTGGTGTGGGGGGGAGCCCGCACCACTCAGCCCAAGGTAGGCAGAAGCCAGGCAACTGTGCCCAGGCCCGGGAAGGGGGAAAGCCCAGGTGGGGGCGGGGAGCCTGGCACATCCTATTGTTTGTTTGTTTACACACACACACACACACACACACACACACACCCCGCCCGTTAATTGTGCTTGAGAGGCTGCTCACGCTAAGGGGATTATTCCAACTGGCTACTCCTCACTGCCCAGCTAGAAGCATCTGTGAGTCTCTGCCCAGCAGAGGCTAGATTTTATTCCCGGCAGCAATAACTGGCAACTTTTCAATGTGACACAGGGGTTTTTCATTAGAGCCACAAGGAAAGCCCCAGATAGGGAGGAGGAGGGAGAGGAGACGGGTGTTAGCTGGAGATAAAGCAGCCAGTAGCCGGGCCTGTCAGCAGCTCTGCGGGGGTGGGGCAGGGAGGAGGCTGGCCTGGCGGCTGGGGAGAAGCTTCCAGAGGCACAGGCTGAGCTGGCTCAGGTGGGCACACACAGCCCATCCCGCGCCTGCTCTTCCTGTGCCTGCTCCAGGTGATAAATGGCAATTAGTCGGACCCACACCCCCTTAGTTCCTTGAGAACTGCCAGTGGGGAGAGGCAGGAGGGCTGGCTCTGAAAAGGTAAGAGCTGCGGTTCGGTTAAGGGTGCGGCCAGCCCAGCAGGGATGGAATAAGGGAACTTTCAAAGTAAAGGGCAGAAGAGACAGGTTAGGACAGGGGTCTGGAGCCAACCCTCCCAGGAGTTTGCATCCCGCCTCTGCCATTTCCTGTTTTTCAACTGATGAAGCGAGTCACTTCATCCCTCAGTGCCTCTGTGCCCACCTCCTTAGCAGAGAGAGTGTAGGAGCACTTAACATCCAGGGGTCATGGGTCGGCGCGTGGCAAGAGCTTGGTCCAGTCCTTGGCGCTCAGTATGGACTCAAGGAATGTGAATGATTAATATTATTTTTCAGTGTGGCGCTTGATGGTGCTTTGGAAAGGAACAGAATTCAAGTGCCCGAGACAGAATGAACGGGGGGGGGGTGGGGGGGGTTGGTGCTCAGAGGAACAAAGGGCAGGCCAAGGAGGGAGGCTGCTAATGCAGTTCTTTCCATCACCTGTCTCTCTTCCCAGTCTCCCACACGGAGATCTCTGCAAGCCGCCGCCACAGTCTGCAGGTCTCACCAGTCCGGTGCCTTTGGGGAGGGGGAGGGGTCACATGAAGAGACTGACTCTTCTGCACAGGTTTTCTCAGGTCATCTCGGTTTCAAATATTCTGTCCATCGTCCCCAGGAGTGCTTAGATGTCCCCGAGATGCCAGCGTCATGGCAGCCAAACTGCATTTTCTGGGCTCTCTTTTGGACCTGGAAGCTCTACAAAAGCCTGCCTGAGATGTTACCCAATTTTTGTTTCGTAAAGTATTGTCCCTGCACACACAAATGAATTTTCCAGATAAATAACAGTTAAGACCATAACTTTTTTTATTTTATTAATAACTGGAACATTTTTAACTGGAAATCTTTTAACGTCTATTTTAAATGGAAATCTTTCTTAAATGTGGTTCATACACTCGCCTCCCTAAAGAAAGGACATTACATTTTGGTTAATTTTTCTGGGTGGCTTCAGACCAGAATTCTTATGCTGTGCTCTAAAACTTTGTCAGCGGTCAGGATCTTGTAAGGTCCTGCAGCCTGCTTCTCCTTCCTTAATGGGCCCCAGACACTTCTGTCCTTTGAGTTCCTGTTCTTGCTTTTTAGTTGCTGGTTTATTTGTTTGTTTGTTTTCTTCTTCACATAAACGTGCTTGTCTCCACTGGTCCTTCCTTCTCTCTGCCCACCCTCCTTACACGCTATAGCAGACCAGGTGTATCAGTGAGTCATTGCTGAGTAACAAATGAACCACCCTAAAACTCAGTGGTTTGAAATATATTGCTTACATGTCTACATGGCACCAGCCTGCCCTGGTGTGGGCTCAGCGATGTGTCTGTGTGCAGCTGAGGACCGGACAGCGAGCTCTGCTGATCTTAGCCGGGCTCTCTCACCTGTTTGGTTCCATTGGTTTAGATGGCCTCGGCTGGGACACTTCCTGTGGTCTCTCATCCCCCAGTGGGCTAGTACGACCTTGTTCACATGGTGATAGCAGCATTCCAAGAGAGAGAACAGAAGCATGCAAAACCCTTGAGGCTCAGAACTGGCACTCTGTCACTTCAGTTGCATTTTATTGGGTGAGAGAAGTCACGAGCCTAGACTAGATTCAAGGGCTGGGGAAAGAGAGATTCCATTTTTGCAATTGATCTACCACACCAGGAAATCAAATAACCAAGTTCATTAGCCTTGATCCTAAAGCAAGAGTGAAGAGATGTGCTCTTCTAAATAACAATGAACCTTGAGGCACAGAGTTTATTTCATCTGCAGACTCAGCTCAGAGGCCTCTTGGTCACTTATCTCGTCCGTGTGCTCTGGACAATTGGAGTTGCCAAATAAATGAGGTCTTGCTCTTCTTTGCAAGACTCCCCAAGGAAGTCCCTTTTTTATTTACCCAAGCCTCACAGTTCTTGACAAACCAACTTTGAGGACGCAAAAATCTATACATTTGAGTTCCAAATTGTCTCTGTGTTTTGGTGCATTTTCCCAGAGATTTCTCCCTACCCATAGTGTGCTACCCTGCGACCACTGCAGGTACCCCACCTCCTTGCCTGCACACGCAGAGATCAAGTTGTTTCATCTTATATCTGCATCTGCACCTGGCCCACGCTTAGCCTGTTACCAGGAGCCATTTGTGCGTCACAGCCGACTGCCAAATTGATTTTTGTGGCATCATCTCGCTTGCCCGGTCTGAGATTGCCACTGCTCCCTGAAACTGAACGCTGGTTCCTCCTCCACCTCCTGATCCTCAGTGATCATGAAATGTAATTAATGAAATGAGATAAGACAGCAAGGGCCTGGATACCCTAAGGGTCTATTAAAAGCCTGCTAGGGTGAGGGAGGTTTGTGAACTTAGCGTCTAATGATAGTTTCAGGATAGGAAAAAAAAGGGGGGAGGGTCAAAGAAGTCATTACAACTTTGCTTTTCTGTGATTCCAGTTTGCTAGAATCCTTGGGGTCCTTCCTTCTGTTTTCTCCCCACCCATCTTAGATTACAAAAAAAAAAAAAGATCAGAGGTAACATTACAGCCAGGGTGACTGTATCCAGACCACACTCTGGAATCTATGGCATGTAGGAAAAACAGGGCCCCCGCACTGGCCTGGCATGAGCTCTTCTTCCTGACGTTCTAAATTCACCATCATGTTCCTGCACTCATCCCAAGCTTCTTTGTTGAATATATTTTCTCTGGGTGACCAGAGAAACACAATTAAGGCATTCTTTCTTTATATTCTTGCTCCTCCCTACCTTCTCCAAGTGAAAAAAGTTAGATTAACTAATTAATTAATTGATGGAAACCAAACTTTATCTTTCTCTCCACAGTGCTGTTCTCATTTTCCTTTATAATCAGGTGCTCTTCCTTTTGTGCAGCATAGTTAAGGAGCCATGCATACCAAAGGCGCATACCAAAGGCGTGTACCAAAGGCCAGGTGCAAACACACTCCCCTATCCACTCCTTTCACATTCAGTTTCCAGATTCTCTTCTCAAATACAGGTCTTGATTTCTTAACAAGTGCTTTAGTGCAGTTTGGTTGTATTTCTAATGTAGGAATGATGGTCACTATCCCATAATTCTTTAGATAACATGCCTTCTTTTCCTGGAATAGTAGTTTCCTATGGCTGCAGGCAATACTTCCATGGCCCTTTTTTCTCAAACCTAACAATGTCAGTGATTCATGTTCTCCCCCATTGCTCTGTAAACCAAACTCCATACCTGTGTGCATAGCCCTGGGTGCTCAACTCAGGATAAACAGCCTCTCTTCTTTCTCCAACTTTCTCCAACCTGTCATACTTTTAATTGGTCACATCTGTACAATTTGTAACAAAATTATGAGTCTTTTTGTTGTTGTTGTTAAGTGAGAGGGGATAAAATCTAAAACTTTTTTTTTCAGATTTTTTTTCAAGTGGTTGAACTAAAAATGTTTACTAAACTTTTTTTCATTGTTTCCTGCCTCTCTACGTTTATCAAAGGTAGATGCTAATTAGCAGTCTAACTAGGCAAGGTTTTATAATAATAACCACCCTCCCACCGGGACTGGTTGGTGTAGGGAGAAACTGTGACTTTGCTGTTAACCCACACTAACATCTTCCTGTGATCCAGAGAGTTGCTTGCTAGTTAACGACATCAGTAGGTGCTGGATAATGTATACCAAGTGACTGACCACAGGACATACCCCTGGCAGCCATCCGGTAGATTTTTGCCACTTGCTCCGGAGAGAGTGAACAAATCCGGCATGTGTACAAATCCGCCAGCTCCACACCCCACCCTAGATCCAGTTCAAAGCCCCCGACGAAGGTGGGTGGCACATTTGCTAAAGGTTTAGAGGTCACAGTCTTCTAATGATGGGAGGATTTGTCATTTGAAAATAACAAAACCATATACTAATCCGAAGGAGTCAGGGATAAGGGGACAAGAATATTAGCGTTGTTCAATGGGAAATGTTGT